TATGGGAATGGAAAGTCTCCGTCAAAAAACTACTTCAACCAAGGAAGTAGTCTCCTGGGACAGGAAGTCCTGAGGTGGGGTGACCTTCAAGGTTGGTGAAGAAAGCCATTCAGCTGTGGTGTGAAGGCCCAAGATCTTTGAATCTTTCCTCTTTGCCATTCTTGGTAAGGTCTTCATGGTCAGGGATGCTGGTGTCACATCCATCACAATAAAGTCCAAGGGCAACAGGAAGTCATTTCTTAGATACAAAGAGAACCTCAGCAGATTTTCCTCATGTTTCATTGACTAGAGTTGGGTCGCTAGTCCATCCCTGAACCGATCCTTGGTGAGAGGAATGAGACCCTCAGGCCTGGCGTGAGGTCAGCCTTCACAAGGATTGTGGCTGTGTGAAGAGGACACTGTGGCTGTGTGAAGAGGACACTGGGACACCATGAGACTTCTCAGCGGAAGGAAGCAGTGGGGACAGGTAGACCACCAGAAGTGCTTGCTACAGAGAGGGAAAGAAAAAGATGTAAAACTAGAAGAGCAGAGGCAGATAGTGAAAGAGACAGAGGAGGGAGGCAGGAAAGTGGGCGGAAAGAGCAAAACAAGATGGAGACAGAGACAGACAAGCTCATTATGTGGTGTCTGAGGTTAAAATGCTGTTGTCCTATCTTGTTGCACACCCAGACAACGTTGGAAGAACACGCTTTACCTGTTTTCATTGCCATTTGAAAAACTCATTAACTTTTCAGTAATTAAACTTATTAACCATTTTTCAACCTCAGAATTATAAAGGAGATGGCTGTAGCAGTCTCCAGGCAGAAGACTGCTTTCCTTCTCTCTGTAAAATAGACTAGGATTTATTGAGTCATGAAGAAGTTGTGTGAAATAAATATAATGATGGCTTAGTTATCTTCTTAATAGTAAAAACGATATAATCACACTTTAAAAAATTGGAAACCAGGAATATGAAAACAAAATCACCTAAAATCCCACAACCTAAAAATCCCATAACCTAACAATTATGAATATTTTGCAAGAATTAACGCCTTACATTTTTTTCATATGATTTTTCATACACATTGGTAGAGTGCTTTATTTTTCAAAACAGGCATAACATATATATGGTATAAATTTCAAAAACAAGCAAAATGGCAAATTCAAAAATAAAGGAGGTCTCCTTCCTACTAATATCTTTTATTTCTTCCTTAGTTAGACTATCTGTTAACAGGGAAATATATGTACACATATTATTTTGCCAACACACTTGATTTTTTACAACATGGTAGCCTACTGTGTATACTGTTATGCACCTACATTTTTAAAGTTTATATTACTTGGAGATGATTCCATACATAGTTTCTTTAAAATGTAACATAACTTATTCACACATTGCCACGTACTCTTTCTAAAAATCATCATCCTTAATAGCCATAAAAAGTTTGAGCAAATGATTCATTCATTCCCTTTATAAATATTTACCAAGCATCTGCCGTATCTGCAGAGCAGTGAAGATTCTAAGATTAAAACAAGATGGACCACACCCTTGAGGGAGTCCCAATGATGTGGAGGAGACAAGCAGGTAAACAAATAATTACAGGCAGTCTCTAAGAGCCAAAATGGAATAAAGTAGGTGTTGGGAGAACAAAGAAAGGAGCCTCCAAGAAGCTGAACAAAAGTATCGAAGATACTCAAGAGCAATGGGCTCACAAACAAGGCAAAGGAGTATCCCAGACAGAGACCAGGTGTGGTCCTGGTCCTGGGTATAACCTCCAATTTTTGATCTTTAACTTGCAGCCAGTTTTCAATATAAATAATGTTGTGATATACAACATATAGTTTATAACTTTTTCCATATTTTGAAGTATTTCTTTGGCTAGATTCCCAGCCAAATGGGACTGCTAAGTCAAAATGTAGGAGCACTCTGACCTGCTACATGTAATCAAAATGCTTTCCAAATGGACCATATTTTTTCATAAGGATACCAGCAATATATTAGCAAACCAATGTTCATTACTTTCGTGACTTTATCATTAATTTGTTTTAATGTATATTTCTTTATTAGAAGGTTAAATTTTCCCATATATCTGTTGCTATTTTGATTTCTTCTTATGTGGGTTGTTTTTTTGTTTACATACAATTATGAGATTCTATATTTCATCTTAGCTGCAATAAGCACTGCTTACAATACAGATATTCAGACTTCTTTTTCATGTTTGCTGCCAATTTTTTTTCTTGGTTAGGTTACAGAAAAAAAAATTCACACATGTAGTTTTTAAAAGTATATCCAGTCACGTTCATTGTTTTTTTTTCCTTCTATTGCTTCTAAGTTGAGAAATACTTCTCTTCAGAAATTTAACGAGTCTTCTATTTTCTTCTGTTTTGCTTAAAAATATATATATTTAACTCATTAATCCTTCTAGAACTTACTTTGGACATATGGGATGATATGAAAATTCAACTAGATTCTCCCCCCTTTTCCAAATTTCCGGGAATTATCTGCACTTTCCCTTCTTCATTGATTTTTATTTTCTTTCTTTCTTTCTTTCTTTTTTTGGCTGGGTGTTCCAGGGATTGAACTCAGTGGCATTAAACCACTGAGCCACATCCCCAGCCCTATTTTGTATTTTTACTTTAGAGACAGGGTTTCACCTAGTTGCTTAGCACTTTGCTATTGCTGAGGCTGGCTTTGAACTTGAGATCCTCCTGCCTCAGCTTCCCAAACTGCTGGAGGGGTGTGCCACCATGCCCAGCCTGATTTTTATTTTTTAGAGCAGTTTCAGGTTCACAGATATGGACAATAAGAGTATCTATTGTATGATCCATACTATATACTGAATGTCATACTATGTGACCTTCTGGAAAAGGCAAAATTATGGAGATATTAAATATCAGAGGTTGCAATGGACTAGGGGGAAGAGAGGAATGAATAAGCAGAGAACAAAGGGCTTTTAAGGCAGTAAAAATACTCCATATGATACTATAAAAGTGCATACATGTCATTATACATCTGTCCAATCCCATGGAACGTTCAATACCAAGAGCAAACCCTAATATAAACTATGGACTTGGGTAATAATGATGTCTCAGTGCAGGTTCCTCAAATGAAGCAAATATTCCCTCCCTCTGGCGGGGGATATTGAGGAGGAGGCTATGCATGTGTGGGGGCAGTGGTATACGGTATCTCTATATCTCTGTTACTTTTTTTCAAAGATAAATCACATTTAGGAATCAACAAGTTATCACTTGGAACTAATGTCTAGCTCTTTTCTGAAATACCTCACATTGGCTTAAGACAGACCATTCCTTTGATTATCTAGTATCCTTGCAGCAAGTTTCTATTTATATATCTAATTACAACATAGCTGCAAATAGGCTTAGGTAAAGCCTATGGTGCTTTCTTGTTAATAGGGAAATCCACTACTGAAAGAACATCTTTTGAAGCCAGATTTGTGGGTGGTATGGCCTATATTTTGGGTGGGTGGAGGGCACTTTTGAGGGAGAGAGTTTTTTCATCCAAAGGGATAAGTTATCCTTAGCCATTGTTATAGCCTCGATGGTATTAAATGAGTAGGATCTCCTAGTCCTCCCATTTTTGTGGGTAATCTGGCTTACAACTATGACTTCAATATAGCCTCTAGCTGAAGGCCAGACCCATCTCCAAACGCGGTTTGTTAAAGGAAAAAGAAACTTCTTGCCTCGCCAAAGCTTGTTTACAGGTTGTTAACTAGCTAGCCAGTTTTTGAGAAAACTGAAAGGTGGTTATCTAGGGAAGTCCTATTTCGGAGGCTCTCCAACTCAAGCCTACTTAAGTATCACCTGGGAGCTTATTAAACACGCAATTTCTGGAAGCTTACTGGGTTGCACAGGATGTTGCTGGCAAGTTTTCCAGATCTCATCACTTTTTCTGTCTGAGCCCTAAGAAAATTCCCATAGATATTTCCACACAATTCTGAGCATTTTCCCCTTCTCTTTCTATGAAACTCTACTACATGCTTTGCCGGCACTTAAAAAAGTGCTCCAGAGGAAGGGTATGTTGCTAATGGGCACACACTGCTCAGGTAGGGTTCTAAAACAATTTTCGGCCTCGCGTCCTATCCATCCCCAAGGATCAAGAGCTTAATAAATCTGTAAGCCACATTCGGATTCCCCAAAGGACCGTTCTGGAACCCTTTCTGGATTGCTTCCTGGAGTTGGAAACCTGGCACGTTCCTTTAGCACTATTCTGCTGGCGGCGGGGACGAAGACGTGCATGGTCAGACCTCCTTGGGGCCATCTTTCCTTCCTCGTTCCCATTTCTAAGATGAAAATAATTTCTCCTGCAGGTGGGGAGGTCGGATTACAGTCGCCAGGGACTCAGGAGACTTTCCTTTGCATCGTCTCCAACCCGCTTTTCTCTCTCTTCCCCAACACCCTAACTACTCCTGGTCGCCCTCAGCTAAGTCCATGACCAATTTCCTCTCCGGCTTAGTGGCACAACGTTCTTCTTTTGCCACAAAATACGGTGGAGGAGGAGGGGGCGTGAGTGTGGTTGCGCTCGGAAGGGGGGTTGTTCCGGGAGGGGTAGATTCCCCACACCCAGTCCTCTCTCCGGGGAGCGAACCTCTCTCCCACTTCCCTCCAGAACTGCGGGCTACTGTTGGTGGCAGAGAGGGACCCGCGGATCCTCCATCCCTGTCACTCTGCCACGCTGTTCCCAACCAGCGCGCTCCCGGGGCGCCCTTATTCCCTACCGTCTACTGTCCTCCCCATTTATTCCGCGACAGCGCGAGGGTTTGGGGGCTGGCTAAAGAACCCGTGGAGAGAAAGAGAGCAGGAGGGGAAGAGAGCCTTGGAGGGAGGAGGGAGGCGGCGGCGGCGGATAAGTGGTGTCACTGCCACTCGGGAGCGCTCGAGCCCGTGCACGCGCGCGCTCCGCGGAGGCTCGGCGGTGGGCGGAGCTGCAGGAGGCGCGGGCGGTGGAGCCGCGGACCAGGCGGGCGGAGCGAGCGGCGGGAGGAGCGAAGGGTGGGAGGGAGCGCGCGAGCAGGCGGGCGAGCTGCGTCTCCGCCAGCATCTGCCGCTGCCGCGTTTGCCCGAAGCCCGGGGACCGATCGCCGGACTGGCCGCCTGGCGCACGGACGCAGGCGCCCGCTTTGTGCTCAGGGCCAGCTTCGGCTAGGCTCGGGTTTGCAGCGTGCTGCTTCTCGCCCGCTCGCAGACACCCGCTCCGGCGGCCTCGGCTCGCGAGGGGCTGGAGGTGCGGGAGCCGCTTTCCGCTGGTCGGTCCCCGCGCGGCTGAGCCCGGGCCGCCCGCGCCGCGGCCCCGAGCTCAGCTCCTTGCCGGGCTTGCTCCGAGCAACGGTGCTCCGGGGCTCCAAACTTGGGCTGCCGGGGCAAGTGTCTTCATGAACCCAGAGGATGTCCGGGAAGCACTACAAGGGTCCTGAAGTCAGTTGTTGCATCAAATACTTCATTTTTGGCTTCAATGTCATATTCTGGGTAAGTTGGAGCGCTCCAGGGATCTCAACTATTGTGGCCGATTGATTCTCGACAATTTCCCCCCGCGTCGTTGGCTGCTTTTACTTTTCGCAGCCCCTCGGGCGCTTGCAGAAGCCTGGAGAGGCATTTGCCTTCCGTCTTTCCAGCTTGCGCGTTGAAGAGAGAAACATTGAAATCCTTTCTAGGAATGAGAGGGGTGAAAAGAAAAACCGAGCTGGAAAGGGGGCACCCAGGCCTTGGGGTGGCTTTTTAAGGGACGAATAGTAGGGATGCAGATAAAAGAAAGGGCTCGGCAGTTTGAGAAACGAGCAACCCCACGAATTAGATTTGCTCCCCGTGGGATATGGATGTTGGGCAGAACGTGGTGTCATAATAGGGCAGGCTAATCGGGCAGAGCCGACCCTGAGGTCCACCTTCTAACAAGGATCTGATTGGACGAGGGCTCGGCTCCGTGTTGCCGCGGCTGGTCTGTGCTGTGCTTAGCGTGTATCTCTTTGCACCATCTCGGGCTTTGTGTAGGATGCAGATGCTGTGGTATATGGTTCTGTAATGTGAACGTAAATAACGCTTCCTGCACGCTTTTACCCCTTTCAGCTGGAAAGCGCTCCTTTTGCATAATGGACTGGCCAAGTGGGCGTGCGGGGTGGACGGATTTATTTCTATATATATCATTGTCAGGATAATAATAAGTCACCATCAACATATGTTTCAGTATGCTCGTGCCTCACGTCCTCCTTTTTTAAGGAGCGACACAGAGCTGGATGGGTTTTGGTAACCCTTGGAGAAATGCAAGGGAGAAGGTGTGTGAGATGTGTTTTACTGGAGAACCCAGAGAGCAGATGCTTGAAGACAAGATTCAAACCATGCTCTCTGCGTGGTACTACTGTGTGCTGGGCATCTATTGTAATTGGGCTGGGACCCTACTCTTTTGTTTTGATTTTTTTGTTCCAGGATCTTGTAAATGTGTTCTGCAACCAGACAAAGAGTTCTCCAGGACAAGGGGAAAACACTGGGTTTTCTCCCCATCTCATCCCATCCCATCCTCTTCCTCACTGGGAAACCCCTTCCCCTTGAAAAGTAAAGATGGTGGCCATCTGGGGGTGTTCTCTAAGTTGCTGTTAGTGTGAGGTAAACAATGATCTAACTGCAGGATCAATAATAGTCTACAGCCGTCTGAACATAGGGTGTATTTATTTGGATCTCTTTTAATTTGGCTATTTGCTATAAATGTAAACATCTGTAAGAATAGTTGTCAGTGCAGCTCTTTATGTTCTTTTTTCCCTACCACACTTTTACTAGGTTATTTTATTTTCTATTTTCTATAGGAGCATCTTGCTTTGGTTATGTATGTTTTGTGAAGGAAATGGAAGAGACCACTTTGTCATCTGTTCTCAGGACTGATAAAAATTAATTGGGGGACATATGAATAGGTTTATGGGCAGGTTTTTGTCAGTTAGCTACATGGTTCCTATAAGCTCGCTGCCCCCCTCCCCCAAACATTGTTGCAGAAATAGTGAGAATAAATTATTTTCTTTCGTTGCTTCTCTCTCTAATCCTTTCTGGAAATGTTTAAGTGGTAGGTTGGCCTATTACTGAGTAAACTATTTTGATTTTATCAGAACTTTCTTCTTGACTTTGAGAGGCAAGGACCAGTGGAATTGAGCTGGCCCTTGGAGGGACAGTGAGTCCAGGCCTCTCCATTCTGCTTGAACACTTCCAAAAGTTGCACATTTCAGCTACCAGGCAACAAAAAGCACCCAGGGGCTTTCTCTGCAGTTTCATAGCAGGGAGTGAAAAGGAAATAAAAGGATTTGGGCCTGTTCCCTGACAGTTTAGTGTAATTTTGTAGAGTGCACAGAGGCAAATTTAGCCTTTTCTCTGGATTAGGTTGCAGCAGAACCCCTGGAATTATGCAGAGCTTCAAAGAATTATTACCAAGTGCTTGCATGGAGAGTTCCAGAATAGATCCACATCTTGTCTGATTTTGAAGGTCTTCATGTGGGTGGGAGGGAGTTCTGTAGAAAGCCTGAAAGCAGACTGAGGCTGTTTCTAAACCAGCAGCCCAGGCAGAATTGTTAAGTAGGTGCCTACTTAAGAGGGCCCTCCTCTTCCCTGCTGCCTACATGCCCTCCCCCACCTCTCTGTGTAAAGCTTTTTTTCTCATCTGTCCCCTCAAACCTTTCCTGTCTAGCTCACTGTTCCAAAATCACCCTATATTTAAATTTCTCAGTTTATCAGAGCCACCTTCTTTAGTGCTGCTCAACAGGAAGGCATCTGTGTTATTTGATTAAAATAATTCAGACTACAATGTTAGTGGCTGAAGAGCTGGGGTTAGTAGTGCAGGCAGTGTGTTTCAAAAAGTTGCTCAGTTCTGATCTTTACAGTCATCAATCTGTGTGTGAGGGCCAGAAACAGCTGACTCAATGCAGCTCCTGTACAACTATGAAGAAGAAACTGCTAACAGACAGCATGGTTTCCTGCTCTTTCATTTTCACACTGACATGCTAGAATAAATTCGAAACACATTGAAGATGTGTGGAGATATAGATCTGGTAAAATAAAATGGAAAATATTGTGGCACTAGTACACAGTTTGCTCCTTTTACTAATCAGCAGTTAGCCAATAAATTGCTGTGTGCCTCAGTTTCTCAGCTGTTAAAATGACGGGATTGTTGAGTTGTAAAGTTCTTTCTGGTTATGACAAAGAATGAAGCTATTGAGTTCTAATATGTGGGCAAAAAAAAATATAAGAGATGGGCACTAATATATATAGCATATACGGGGACACTTGTTAAGTTAATAGACTTTTTTTTTTTCCTTTTTCCTGAGACTTTGCTGGAGACCAGTTTTATTACTTTCATTTCTTTCTCAAAGATCCTTTCAATTAAAAAAATACTTTTGCTAATTTCTTTGTGGTCTGTTTAGTTATTGGTATGGTATTCATGCTTCCCTTTACCCACTGTGAATCTCAAAAGTAGTCCTGTGAGTCATTAAGTATATTTTTATTATTAGAATTACAGTTTCATGTGTTAAATCTGAATCATTTTATATAACAGTTGTAATGATATTCTGAGTAACAAAGTTAACATCTTGTACAGATTCCTTTCTCATTAGTTATCACTGGGTGGTAGGCAAAACAAGGTTTTCCCTATTATATATTGGAACAACCCAAGACAAAGAGGATTGATTTTCTTGAGGGTGTCACCAAACTATGACATTTCTCAGAAAACCCTAAGATATCTTTGGGGAAGGAAGAGAAAGAGGGTTTTGTTTTATATTTCATTTTTTGTAGTGCCGGGGAATTGAACCCAGGGCCTTGTGCAGGCAAGGCAAACATTCTACCAACTGAGCAATATCCCCAGCCTGAGRGTTTTGTTTTAAAGTCAGTCATTTTAGGTACTGAATCCCTATATCGTATTATCCATCTTTAATACATATTTTGCTCTGGACCTTGATTCAGATACATAACTGTTTCTGAGCAAGTAAATTAATGTCAATATTCTGGTTATTTATTGCTACATAACATCCCCCAAATTTAGTGATTTAAAACAAAACTTAATTATTATAGCTCATAGTTCAGTAATTTGGCCAGGTTCATCTGGGAAGTTCTCACTGGTGGTCTCTGGTGCACTTGCAGTGAAATGTGGCTGGGGCTGGAGTTAATTGAAGCCTCCCTGAGGTGGAATATCCAAGATTATGCTCTCTCATGACTGGTAGTTGATGCTTCTTGAAGACTCAGCCAGAGCTGTTGACCAGAGCACCTGTAGGTGGCTTCTTCCTGTCTCTGAGACTGGAAGAAGCAGCCTCCAGTCAGTTTAACTGTATCTGGAAGTGCAACAGTGTCACTTTCATCTGTTCCATTGGTTAAAGGACTTACAGAGCTTGCTCAGTTGCAGGGAGGTGAAGAAATAAATTATTCCTTTTGATGGGGGAGTGTCAAGGTAACATTGCAGAAGCTTGTATGAGTTGCAGCCATCTTGGGAAAATACAGTCTGCTTTTCCGAGCTTTAATTTTTTATTTATAAAGATAATATTTGTCTAATGGCATCATAGTTTTTCAAGGATTCACTAAAATAATATACTAATTAGCACAAAGTCTCAGTATTTAAGAAATGGTGAAGTTCATTATTGTGTTCGGATACCATACCAGTTCTATCCTGGGCTAAAGAACTTCTCGAATGTCTTTGCCTAGTACTTTGGCCTCATTACTACTAGGTGATGATAATACTCTTAAGATCTGCCAAGGATATAAGGCAAGTGGGTTCGATAGATTTTTATCATGATTTATTAGAAAAGACCCCATATCAGTGGAAGCCCTGAACAACTTACGAGAATCAAGTCATTTTTCTTTTCTCTGTGGTACAAGGATAGAACAGCCTTGGATACTTGAGGCCAAATTTCTTTTTTGGTGTGCTTTCAAATATTACATTGTGTTACAAGTGGTGGTTTATCTGGAGTTGATGGCAGAATGTTGCATCTAATTTGCTTCCACAGGGCTTAAATTCAGAGAGGAGGGAGATTTAGGGAACCTTGGGGGGGGGGTATCAAGTAGGAAGCCTTATCTTATGATTCAGTATAAATTGCAAGATGTTCTGGAATGATGATACATCAGCAGTTTATAAGTCATAATTTTTGTTTTAATTTGCTAGACATCTGTTAGCTTCGATGGCAACCATATGGGAGTCTAAATTGCCTTTTGAATTACAGGGAGATGGTAGAAAGAAAGCTAAATACGGTTATGGAAGTGTCATGTGGGAAAAGCATAAGAAAGGTATGCAGACCTCAGTGGGGAAAGTAATTGAACATTGACTTGCTTGTTCTGGCCACTCACTCAGTCTGAGGTGCTGGAGCATTCTCACTTGATGATATACTTGAAGGAAGCCAAAGGGAAAAGTTGGAAAACCAAGTCATATTCTGCCCACCATAAAACTGCCACGGTGAGCTCATTTAGATGGATCCTTCTGTCTTAAAAGCCATAGTAATAGGTAGTCCCTGGTAAAG